TTTTTTTCTGTCACACTTCAAGCATAAATATTAATGTTGTTATCTAACCATACTTAAAATAACTTATTAAAACTGGATTGTTCACTATTAATTTGTTTTAAGTCTCCCTTTCCTGGCTGACTGCCAAAACAGTTATAATGCTATACAATTGCAATACACAAGAGATCCATAGCACCCTCTAATTACTCTAAATACCTCGCACAAGCACTGCCTTTTCTTACAATTGTGAGGCCATTAGGTAGGGTTGAGAATCTCAGAACTTTTAGCCCAGATACTTTATTTCATTTCTGAAGTTTGTACGCACCATCAAAATGTTTGCCTGAACTATGGGCAAACATTTGGAACATGAACACCATCCTCCACTCTGACCCTTCTTTTCGACAGGGGCTGTCAGTCCTGGGAACCATACCTGAGGACTGACTGCATTTATACTCCATAATTCACAAAATGAATAAAATACTACTACTGCCTTGGGTTTGCAACACTACAGAGTGCTCTGAGCATGTGCAAAGGAACTTAACCCTACTAAATCAAACTCCTCCAATATGAAGACTGAGTTTAAACATGTGATTAATGCCACAAAAGCCTCCTGAAAGTTTCTCCAAAACAAATTTAAAGGCCGTGATCTACAAAGATTTACTGATGTGGGTGTGTTTACTCAACTTCACTGTCAATGGAACCAAACAAAGTTATTCATTCTTGTAAGCCTCATCTAGATAATCCTAAAATTTCAACTAAAAGGGTTCATCACTTCTGAAGAATCATTTCTTTCTCCCAGACTTCTCTAGACTTCTGGTGTGAAGAAAACCATAGAAACATCTTAAGCCATAGAAGTTTTTCATCTCCCTGAAGTGACAAGTTGAAAGACAAGTTATTTGATGTTCAGGATCACCAACAGAATTCAAAATTTACATAAACATTTAAGATACAGGTGTAGTCAATATTGATATTTATTAAAGTCTCATGTTACACTACTATACAAGTATTTCCCTTCCAAAAATACAAAGATAAAATACAGCCCGGTTAGCAAAAAAAGTTATCCAATTCCCTACTCAACAACACTCAAAGTGTTCAAGAGAAGCTAAAATACAAATTATTCCAGTCCAAGGTTTGACTTCCTCAGCATTCTCCAACCGTGCTCTATAACATTACCTAATATTGCAGACAAGAAAAATCAAAACAAAACCCCAGCCTTGGCCACAACAGTCAGAGCCTTAAAAGCTGTCTGTGATGATCTCTACAACAGTAGCCCACTGAGCTGTGAGGCTCGGATACCAGCCAGGGCTAGCCAGAAGTCCAGCTCGAAGGCTTGATTTCAGCTGTGCATGGCTTTGGTCCACTGACTTACAGGACACAGCATGAAACACAGTGCTCTATGCAGTGCCTATCCAAAATGACAACAGAGAACATTTCCTATCCTTTTTCCAGCTACCCTTTACATGTTCAAAGAATATGTGTTTAAAAGGAACAAAATTCATACATAAGTAATAGTGTTGACTTACTCAATTTCTGGCATTAAAGTTACTATCATCTTGATCTCTGATCCTGCAATCAGCCATGCATGTTAATGTTACCTAAGGGTGCAGCCCCTTCATTTCAATAACTGGCAATTACTTTGGTGCCAGTTTCTCTTTTGATGCACCAGCACCATCAAGGATAAATCCCCGTAACTGCAAAAGGCAGTAAGAACAATCTCTTATAATCTAAAATTAAACCTGTCCTACAATTAGTTGACCGCATCTTTTCAATATTACATTTTCCCTACTAAACTAAGCATACACATGGGAAGTTGTCTAGGTTTACCTTCAAAATCTGGCAATTGGTGATACAATCTGGAACCCTACAGCTCTAATAATTGGTGTGAATGCAGCCAGGGACTAGTGATTGAAGGAAGTTCCCATATGGCAATCGTAAAGCAGTATTTAAAAAAATTATAAAAAATATTATCACATCATAAAATCCATCAGTATATAACAGCCTCCGACTGGCACTCTCAAGGTGAACAGAAATTAAATAAATCCTGAGACTAAGTTACCTACTCATACTTGGAGGTGGCTCCTCCAAGACAAAAACTAACCCATTCTGTTGCGGTAGTTAGAGAAACTGCAGTTCTTCCTCACAGATCAATCTATTCCATTAACAGGCACAGGACTTTCAGTACTAGAAGCCTGAAACCTTTCAGGAGGACCTCACAGAAACCACAGGCTGTGTACATATGCACAGAACGTGTCCTACCTGAAAATGGCTGCTTGATGCAACACAGCAGAATAAGGACGCGTTGTGTTAGTACTGACACCAATTTTTAAATTAACATCAAGGTACCTCGCTCAAACTGTGATCAAACTATGTGGCAAAACAGCTGGATGCAACTAGGGGATATGAATGAAAGAACATTTTTCTTGTAACTAATTTTTTGAACACAAGGAATTATCTATTGAAAATGTACAGCTTTTGTCCGCAGGTAGTGCATATGGAAAAGTAAAACCATGCAGCCAGGTTGTTCAAAAAGTAAACTTTGACCACATAATCTGACGTGTGCTACACTGCAGGCTTTTGCATCGCTGTCACATGATGGCCATGATTTATCAGACTGAACAGAGCGACAATTTCGCTCTTCAGGGGCTGCAGAAGTGCACAAAGCTCAAAATAAAGAGCATTTCTTTGGTGCAGAAGACTAGTTCTCTGCTCTGTTGCATGAATATTGATAAAAACCCCTATAATGTGAAGTTTTTCAGTAATTCTGCTACACAGTATGCAGCACACCAAAAATGTATTATTTTCCCTGCTATTTCGAAATAATGCAGCAATTTAAGTATACTTTCAATTCCACTCATTTGTTTTGTACCCAAAGAACGGTTGTTGAGTAACAAGTATTTCTTTGAAAATCTCTCACTGTAATACAAAATACAGATTAAAGCTACCTTGGGTTCACCAGTTTCATTCCAGATAGAATGGTACCAGGGTTCAGTTATTAAATAACTATTGAAAACTGAACCAGTAGCTCTGCAAGCAGCAAAAACAGGGAGGCCCCATTTCCTGCAGCAATTTCCAGCTTGAGGTAAGCGTTGCCATGAACTCTCTGGTGTGCAGGTTAAAAGCACCGTTCTACCCAGCTTCCTTACTTCCAGAAATTTTGTAGCAACAGCCCACCTGGGAGACCTCTGCTGCCAAATTTATTTGAACACTTCTAAAAGCCAAAAGAGTTATTAGAGGGACTGAAGGCACAGAGAAATTATAGCTTTATTTGAGCTGCACCTGTTAAAGGAATCAAGCTAACAAAGCACATGGAATAATTAATTACTGGCAATTGCTGCTACTAACTACTGCCACACCTGGTACACAGGATCTTTTTCTTCGAAATTCAGCAGGAGCACAGTGCCCATGCTGCTGTCCCTGTTGCAATCACAGATGCTACCTTGTCCCAAAATTAACCACAACACCCTGGCTGTGCAGAACACACACCAAGTCTCCACTCTATGCTTACGCTCACTAGGAACCTCCTACAACTGAATTTACAGATACACAACATAAATAAGAGTGGAAGTGCAAGGTTTTGTTGTTTGGAAAGGAAACATTCTTACTTCTGCGAAGCCAACAAAAACATGGTTATGGCTGGGCTATACCTACAAACAGAGGTACTGCAAAGGTAACTGACAAGGCAATTCTATCCATCTTCAACACTTACTTTCCAAAAAGGAAAGAAAAAGACTCTGAAGTAAACTTTTGTATCTGCTTTCTGACTTAAGATCAATTTCATTTGCAAAACTTGCCTGAAATATCACTCAGTTATCTATGAATTAAATTAAGTGAAAACCAATACACTTTCTTTGTCAACACACTCCAAGCTTCAAGACTGGTTTTGGAACATTCTGCCACTTTAGGTAAATCCAAAGATCTAATTTTTAATTAATGACTGGCCTCTGCCTAGGGTTAAATCCAGCAGGTACATCTGAATACACCTTTATTATACGAGCTTCAGAAATATTTCTGTCCTAGTTTCCCCAGTGCCAAGTGGACCATACCCACATGCATACAAGACACACAGAAGCCCATATATTAATAAAATAAATAACTGCATCATAAACTTCACATATTTGTAAAAATGAAAATTGGAGAAGTCACACTAGCCCTTGGTCTGAGCACACAACTTTAAGCACATAAAGCCTGCGGGTCCACAGAGAGCAGAAAGTTATGTGCAGACTCCGCAGGAACAGGGGCCTGTGTGTGCCCAACACATTTTTTTCCTTAAAACTGTAAGGAAGACAAGAAGCCCTGATGAAGTGTGATGATTGAACATTTAAATTAATGACTCAGAAATGTACGGCGGTCATGTTCCAGGCTCGATAATAGGATATAAACCAGAACAGTGGAGCGGGGGGAAGAAAAATTAATAGAATATAAAACCACGCAGGCCAAGCTACGGGCGACTCCTGAGTTTTGCCCTTTTACATCCTCCGGCCCCGCGCCGGGAGCGGAGCCGGGAGCGGCTCACGCCGAGCACCAGCCCGGGCGGTGCGCGCCGCCTCCGCCGGGGGACGAGCAGCGCCCGGGGCAGGGGCCGGGAGGGGGCCCGGCCAAGGAGGGGTCACGGCCCTCCCCCGCTAAACTTGCTCCCGCAGCCCGCCCAGCCCAGCGCGGCTCCCGCCCGCCCGACCCCTCGGCCCCGCGGGCAGGGGCTCGGGCCCGGCAGAAAGTTGCCGAGAAAGTTTCTGCAGAGAAGGGCCCGGGGTGCGGGACGCCCCCCGGCCCCGGGGCGCGGCGGCGGGGCGAGGCCGGGGGCGGGCGGCCGGGGCCTAGCGCCTCCATCGCCGCCGCCATCGCGGCCGCCGCTCCCGTGGGGCGGCGGAGCGGGGACGCGGCCGGGGCCTCACCTGCCTCTCCTCGGCGTGGCGGGTGGGAGAAGGAGGGGGGGAGGGAAGGAAGCGGGGGCCCCCCCGCTCCTCCCGGAGCCGCGGCGACCCGGGGAGGGAAGCGGGGAGGAGGGGAAGGGAGGAGGGACGAGGAGGAGGGCGCCGAGCGCTCCGGTGCGTGCGGGGAGCTGGAGCCTCGCTGCGGGAGGAGGAGGAGGAGACTCCCCGCCCCTATGGCCGGGATCTCCGGTGGGCACCGCGGCCCCTCCCCCGCACCGCGTTTCCCTCCATGCGCTCCGGGTCGGGATCGCCGCGCCTCCCGGCCGGGGCAGCGCCTCCGCGGCCGAACCGGAGGCCGCGGGGAGGAGCCGGGCGGCCCCCGCGGAGCCGGGCTGGCGGCGGCGGTCCCTCCTCCGCGCCGCCGCGCACCGAGACAACATGGTGGAGACGTGCGGCGCGGCGCGGGGGCGGCGGGAGGGAGCCGGGGCTTGCCCTGCCCCCCGCTCGCCCGAGGGCGGCCGCCTACTCCCGGCCGTGGGTCGCGGGGACCCCGGTCGGGGTAGATCCTCCCGCCGTGCTGTGCCGTGCCGGGCCGGGCCGGTGAGCCTCTCTTGCCAGAGAAGCTGAACGCGAGAGATTCCGGCAGCGGAGCCCTTCGGCGTGGTGCGGGAGAAGCAAACAAAATAACTTTTAAAACTCCTCGCCTAGGCATCTTCAGGTGGGCCACGGCTTAGGCTCGGTACGTTTAGTTTCCTGTGGGTGAAGCAGAAGCAAGGCGGCTCTCCGGCAGTGCGGGTGCTGCAGCGGCCGGCCGGCAGCTCGGGAATGCCCAGGGCGGCGCCGCGGAACAGACCGGTCGCAGAACACCGAGCAAAGAACGAGCCTGTAAATTACGCATCAGTAACTCCGGGGAATTCCACGTTACGGGTTTCCTTCCCACTCATCGCCGTTCCTTAAGTCAGTGTTTCGTATTTTAAGAAATAAAAACTTGGATTTGTGTCAAGGTGGGCTTCCTGGAGAAAGGTGGTTCAAATGCATCTAGCCTTCAGAACTGCAGACTGCAGGAAAGAGTGAAAGAACATTTAAAAAATGAACCTAAAAAGCCAAAGTTTATGTGGGCAAATTGTCATTTCTCATTCAGCATTATCTTTTATTGTTTCCAGCTCTTTAGTAGTTAAATTTATATCTCTCCCCGCTTTATTTTCTTTAAAGGCTGATCAGAAAACAGTAGTTGTGTTGATCACTAATGATAACCTAATATAGTTTGTTCTTAAGAAAAAGAATTGAGTCAGGATGTCCAGTTTATTTTGCAGGCAATGCTGCAGAGTAAAGCCATTTGTGCTTTTTAATTTCAGATAAAGAAAATACATGTATTTGCTTTTAGAGGACCATAGATACATTTAAACTGTTAACAGAGTACAAAAAAACCAAAAGTGTTCTAGATTTGGAGACTCAATAACATAAATTGTTCTCATGTGACCCTCTTAGGGTCTTGGAATTCATCATATTCTGTTCAGTCTGAAATCTAACTCACATTATATAGAATTGATTTTTAATTTAAACAGCAATTTTAAGTTTTAAAAATTGACCTTGGCAATGAATTACTTAACAGTTTGCAGATTGGTTGAAGCTCTAAGTCGGTTATGACTTCAAAACTCCAACTGGGCTTATGGTAGTCTTGAGTGAAAGCAAAGTTTGAACTCCAGTATCATTTGTGGGGTTTTGTATACACAGGCAAGTGTTGCTGATTGGTTAATTTTACAGCACAATGGTAAAACTTGCATATCTGAAAAACATGAGACTTAGTTGTGTTATCATCTTCATGATGTTTTAAAATTACCCACTTAAGCAATTTTGCAGCATTGGGCTAGAGCTTCATCGTTAGAGACACACTGGCTCTTGCCAGCTGTCGCTGTAATTTGACGTCTGGGTTTCAGGTTCGGTGTTGATGGATGGGATTATACAGTAGTCCTTTCTCACGGCACCTGGCAATGCCCGTGTGGTACCGAAAGGTTTGTTGGGATTCTCAGTTCATCACACCGCTCCTGTTGCTTTCTGTCGTGAAGATCAATGTAAGAAATTATTTGGTGAGGTTTTGAAAGGCTGAGCTATGAACTGTGTCCTCAGTTCACTGTCTTATGTGTATGTGTACTATTAGCTGCCACAGAGAGTACTGGGGCTGCACCAGTGATTGACTCGGTCGGTAGTGGAGAGACTGTCACGCTTAATTTTAAGCACAGCGTGATTAAAATAGCAGAGCAGTTGGGGAGAAGACGAGCTGACCAGTCCCATAGCTGAGAGCAAGCTCAGACTCACACCATATGGGTGTGAAAGAATAGATGAGGGTTTGAGTCGGGAGTCTTGGAGGCTAGACATGGTTTCATTGCAGTGGAAAAATTGGCTGCTTCTTAAATTGTCATGCACTTGTCACTGATAGTCTGAGTGTTCCTTAGAGTATTCCTTTTATAACGAAGTGTTCAACAAGTGACTTAAAATGATCAAAACTGTTGTAGTTCAGCCTGATTAATCCTGCACAGGATGGGACTTGGAGTGTCATTGCCACTTTTTGCCTGCCAGTCAGGCAGTCTGCCACATGATACCTGGCTAAAGCTCCCTTTCTGTGGCTGTTCCTGAGTGGGCTCTCAAATATGTTGCAATGCAGGTGGATTGATACTGCTTGGTATTCACTCAGAATGAGTGGATCAGCCAAAACTACCACAAGTCAGGCAAGGCCAGTGCCTACTTCTAGGAATTTCCCCTCTCTTTCATTCTTTTGTTTTAAATTAATTTTTTTGACCTTGTGGGAGAAGGAGGAGGGAGGAGCTGCCCTCAAATGCTTTAGCATGACTGGAGTATAGTGTAAGAAGCTACTGATGCAGGGGTTCATTGCTGCCATTTGCTGAACACAGTTTGCCAAATCAAATAGCCCATCAGACAGGCTCAGCATTCACTAACTCTTTTGTTTGTTGCATGGTTGGCTGGGGTTAACTTAATCTTGAAGATTTATGCAAATAGCTGATGTTTAGGAAGGCATTCTCTATGTACTATCTTTGGAAATTCTCATATATTTGAACTTTCTAAAATGGTAATTTATACTTACACAATCCTTAATGTGTTTGAGTAATTTGAAAAAATCCCCAAAAATGTATGATAGAGTCAAGGACATATTATGCTAAATAAAGTATATTTTGGGTGACATGGAGAAATACAGGTGTAGGAGCAGAAAGAAGGAGGAACAGAGGAATAGAGATGGAGACAGGCAGACTAAAATATTTCAAACACTGATGTGGGTTCAGTGGTTTGTAATTGGGGCATACAGGACTTGCATCCTGATATATTGAGGGAGATGGACAGATTGATTCTCTGAAGAGTTTTGCCAGTACATGCCAAAAGTTAATCTATGGTACATGTGGTAGTAACCTGAAAATATCAACACATTCTTGAAAACACTTGGTGGGATTGATTTCTAACAATTCAGAGGTAAATTAAAAAAACATTACAGTGGTTTATGGACAAATAATTTTTTCTTTTGAAAGGAATAAAAAAAATTCTGGACCTAAATTAATTCCCTCTTTTTGAGGAATAACTGAGGTAGTCAAGGCCTCATCCTAGCTATTGCTCTTGGAAAGTGTGGAAAACAATGGTATTTTATAGCAGTACCTCCCAAAATTCATGTGCAAAGTTCCCATTGTTCATTGTACTGTGTGATCATACTACAAAAAAGCAGTTCATCTTGGAAGTAGTATTAGTCACTTGCTTATTTTGAAGCTCTTGGATCATTATTTTAAGAACATGGTGTTTAGCAAAACATAGATATTTCTTTTTAATCCCAAATACATTTCTTTTGAATCTGAATATTCTAAGCATTAGTCGAATAAGTGCATAGTTTTTGTGATGTTAATTTCTATTTAATATTCCAGAAGCTATTAATAAAATCATTGATGTTTAAAACTGAAACATCTTCCTTGGATATAATGCAAATTGCATCCCAGTATAGTAGTTCAGTAAGGAAACGGAGTGCTAAGTCACTGTCTGGTTGATCTGTAATTATTTCCTATTCTGAAGCAAGTATCCTATTTTAGCCTCATGTTAAACTTGTCCCATTTTGCCTTAAAATGTATCTGCATCTCCAAATGGCCAGATCTTTGTGTTTGATGCTCACATCTATTTGCGAGATTAAATATTCTGTTCTTTCTCAAATATCACTTCTGTTTGATCTTGCATAGCATGTCTAATTATTTATGTATATTATACTTCTAGCAAGTATGTGGAGGGTTCTTTTTGAAAAACATTGCTTCAAATATTGTTTTTTGAACTTACTAGAAGTTATGCTTAAAAGCATGTTAGAGTTCAAAAACCCTGTCTTCCCAAACCCGTTGCTATTTACATTTGTGTCACATCCAGTTACATCAGACACACTGGATTACATTGTATAATGAAAGCCGTATTGCTGTACTCTAATCTTTATCTCTTTATATCGGATCTCCTTTGAATTGCACATGAGTATTGCTTATGGTTACTTAAAATAACTACTGCTTTTGTTTCAAGGGCAGTGCTATATATGATGAACACTTAGCACTCAACCCTGCTTGGGCAGCAACTTCACATCCTGTGTCTTTGGTTCTTGCATGATTTAATTGGGAAGATTGCACACATTCTTTTTTTATTTTTTCATTTAAATTTCATAGTTGAAGAATCTGAAACCTGTGAAATCATACATGTTCAGAAAAAAATAATATATTTACCTGTGCAACTGTGCAGATAATTCTGAGAGATTTGGAATGTATGCCTTCCTCCTCACAAAGCAGGTTATATACTCTTAGGGAGAGTGGAAAAGGACAAAGAGTAGGAGGAAAATAAGTTTGTGCACTAAAGCTGACCTGAACTGGAGTTGGTTCTGACATCACTGCCAGAGTAATTCATAGCCTTTAAGAGACTTCTGACCTCATTTGATAGGCAGTACAAAGAAGCAATTTCTGCTGGCTTTGGGAGACTTGCACATGTACATACTGGTTATATGTATTTTATTTTTCTTTAAGTGATTACCTAAGACATTATTCTGCAAGTAATGCTTAATAATGTTAGTAGCTGCAGAATCCAAGTTAGAATGGCATTTAGGGAGCACTGGAAGGGGATTCTGCATCAAAATTTCCTCTTTTCCAGGGTATCCTGAATTTTTACTGTTGAACACACATGCTGTTGTGGTGCTTTTATATATGACTTCATACAACAAAGCAAAGTGAAACAGACTTAAAAAAAAAAGAAATCTTACTCTCCTATCCTATCTTACTATCCTATTTAGAAGTTAAACCTTTTTTAGAACTCTGTATGGTCTTTTCCTCTCAGCTACCATCTTGCTTAAAGATGAACAAATTCCTCAGGCTGTGTGAGTGGCCTTTTTTATACTTTGATGCTTAACAGATCTTTTGAATTTTCTGTGACACATTGTTTTTCCTGCCCTATTGTTTTGAGGATAATTGTTAGTCACAACCTTGAGGATGAGAAAGCCTTCCTCCTTTATTTAGCTATGAATGTGATTAAATTTATTACTTTGGGAATAGTTCCAGGAGCAAAATCATCCCCTCAGTCTGTGATGTCAAACAAATCCTTAGAATGGAGCTTGGATCAGGATGGGGCTGTTCACCATTAGAGGTGGACATAACTGCTGTGCACCATTTAGAGATCTGAGAAAACTGGGCATCTGTCAGCTATGTGGCCTTGTTTTCTCCACATGCCCTCTATTTCTACTGTTTTCCTCATGACTTTGTCTCATCACCATTCCTTCAGGTGGAGGTTACAGTCCCCTCAGGTCTGCTGGCATAACTATAACTGTATTTTTTTCCTATAGTTTTCATCTCTGCCAACATGATCTTAGTTTACATCTCCTAATAGTTTTCTGCAAACCAAGAACATGTTGAGGCAATTAGGGAATTATATATACACATTGTTGTGCTCATTGGCATGAGGAAAGAGGTAATAACATAGGGACCCCAGTGACTTCTTATCCCACCTATAACCAGAATGGTCTGAATTTTCTGAAATTTCTGAATTTAGGAAAATCCAGTGTGATTGCATTAGTAGATGAAGAGAGAGCAGTGTTGGTGGGGAATAGGGAAGACTAGAAGGTTCTGTTTTCCTGATGTTTAACTGTTCCACGGTTCTGCATAGGTGTTTTTCAGTTCCCACCTTACTTCAGGTAAATATCCTTTGGTTTGCTTATCACTCTCTGCTGTGTTCCCTTGAAACAGCCACAGTCTCTTCCATTCCTCCCTGAGAATCTCTGTCGGGGCTGAATGAGGGAGTCATGGAGCCAGCTGAGGAAACAGCTACTCAAGAGGCTGCACTTGCAGAAAGCTTGATTCTTAACATCTGAAAAAGACATGAAGAGATGGAAGAAGTCTAGATTTATTAAAAGAAGAGTTTGTATCATTTCCTTGTTGTTAATTGTTATTAGTGAGTGTGAGAGTTTTCAGTTGCCTAAAACCACTCAGGTTCCGCTTTTTCTAGGCAAAGATTGTTCTTGGCAATTGCCTGCCTCACTGCTCTGACACCTGCAAAGTGAAAATCTGCTGCTTTCTCATGTTAGAAGGAAGCAACTTTGCCAGCTAAGTTGCAGAGCAGCACCTCTGCTTCCAGACTGGACACAGCCCTTTGAAATGTCTTTAGTCTCCCATGCAGATGTCAGGGATGTGCATTTTGCAGTAGATGTTCATAGTACATCCATATCTGACCCAAAGGTAAGTAAGCCTCTGCACAGTCTCACTTCTCATGTAGAGTCTTGGTAGATCTAAGGTGAGTTCTCTAAAAACTATCTGCATTTCCTCTTACAAGCCAAGGAGGTTGGAAGTGCTCTGTTCAAAGGCTTCCAAGGCTAAGCCAGCATTTCTTTACAATTAGATAGGAACACAGAGCTGGAACAGACCTCCCACCATTCAACAACTATTGTGGGAAAATGTTAGCAGCTCTAGCCTTCTCCACTCCTATCTCAAAAAGAAAAAAAAAATACAGGAATTAATAAAGAAGGAAAACTACTTCTGAGATACTCTTTGTTCTGCAGGCTCCTGATTTGTCTTGATGTTTTATCACTGTGCTTTTTTGGGCATCTGGCTTTCAGGAGAAAAAAAGGGAGCATAACAGAAGCAAACCTGAGCCTGCCTTCATGAGCACTGAAGCTGGTGATGGTACGTCACAGCCGCCCAGAACGTTTTTGTTCATATTCTTCAAAAGAAAAAAGAAAAGACTGCTATAAAGGTTCAGAAGAACTGCTATGAATTGAGAATTGCAAGCTACAGAAATGACAAATTTATTTAGAGAGATTCTACCAACATATATTTATATAAATTTTGAATTATTCTAAGAAAGGCAGCTGGCAAATAGTCTTTCCCCCCCTCTGTTTCTTTGAATATGCAAGTAATTATCCTGTTGTTTCAGATAACTGTAAAAATTTGGAGGGAATGTAAAAATATTTGCTTTTTCTTCCCCCCCACAAAGTAACATCATATTCCACTATAGTCTTTTGTTTCATATGTTTCATTAAACAGTTTCTTGAAGCCAGATACCATTGCATGTTGGTATTTCATTTCTCATGGAATAAGTTGTAAATGATGGGATAAAACGATACATTTAATTCTCATAGTGGATGATGCTAGTTATTAGTATGCAGGAAAATGTAGCTAAATGAAAGAAGAAAAAATACCAGCTAAACAAATGTACATGACATTAAGGATTACATTAGGGGTCACATGCTGTTTCTTTCTGCTTATTTTTCCTTTCACTTTTGCTTTTCCAAAGCACAAGGAATTTCCTACTCCTCTTTCCTTCAAAATGGAGCCTATTGAAAATTAGACTGTATGTTCAAAATTGTTCCACATTTTTGCTTTTGTTTTCTAATCGGGAAGAAAAACAAAGCACAGAACATTCCAAAGTATTTTGGTTTTAAAATGTGGGCTTGGACATCTTTGATGCATTATCATAACAGCTAGAAGGGATATTTTTGTTCTTGATGGAAAATGCAGTCCATTCAGGAACTCCAGATGATGGGGGGGAAATAGGGGACCTAAACCATGACAAACTCATGATGAGTGTTGACAAACCATCCTGAAGCCAAACGTTTAGATTTTTTTGGACAGTTCAAAACATTTTGGGTTCTCTTTTTATTTTCCCAAAGGGACATGACATTGTTTTGACACAACCAACTTTTTCCTGTGGAAAAAATATTACAGAAAACACTTTTCTATTTAAAACCGTGAACAGAAAATTCTGGACCAGCAATAGAGAGAAATAATCAATCCAAAACCAAGTGCATTTGAAAATGTCCTCTCAGGAGAATCTTATGACTGCTCCAACCTAGCAATAAGAATTTTATTTGAAGGTAAGTTTATTTCCTAGACAACAAACATAACCTCATGAAATACATGTGGCATAACTTGGTGTGTTCAGTTCAAAATACGATGTTTCACGGACTTGCTTGAGAACTGTAAAAATGTGAAAGAGCTCTGGTAGAAGGCTTGGGCCTTTTGACATGAAACATCACATCTGAGATTTCACAACTGTTTTCCTAGGACTGGACATTTTTAAAAAACTGAAAACTGCTTTTTTTAAAAACAAAAGTCTAAATCCACAAAGCAAAAATTTGTATGTTTAAAAACATACTTTTAGCTTTAAAAACATGTAGCTAAATTAATAATTTTTTAATGTTCAAAGGCACACTCTTACATTTGTTTTTAAAAAATGGGCACAAGCATTTTTTTCACAACAGCAAAGTATTTTAAGGAAATATAAGGGTTGCCATACTCTTACTGAATTTTTAGGACACAGGTAGTTAGGATAATCTTCCAGGACATTTTATATCCTTATAAAAGTGGCCATAAGTTGCTGACTTGCTAGAATTCATGGCTATCTCAATGCTTATTTGTGAAGGGAATCTGTGCTTTGAATGTGACAAACTGTGTGCTGGCTTCTATGTCAGGGCAAGCTTCATCTTGTCAAGAGTGGGTAGGAGACAGAGCCTGTTACTCCTTATTACCCAAGCTAATCACATGCTTTTCTGAGTATAAACAGGTGATTCACCAAGTTTAAGAACAGAAGTGACCAACAGACCAGCCAGATATTCAAGCACTCTGAATATCTATTCGCAGAATTCAAAGAATTCAGAACTCTGAATATCTACCACCGCTTCTCAAATTTCACCCACACTTGGACCCTATTTCTTGTGCCAGGCTGCAGTGTCCCATAGGGATAGAGACTTTTAGAGGTGGGGATTGCAGAGTTTTGGGTAGAACGGGCTTAAGGGACCAACAAGAAAGGAGAGCAGAGCAACAGACAAAGCCTGATGGGCATTTGAAAATGATTGTTGGCATCATACCTGTTGACACACAGATCATTTGGTCAGTGAAGTTAGGTGAACTTTCACCTGGTTCTTGCAGGAGTGTGTAATTTTTTAATGTTCTTTGTGTGTGCAGTTTTCACAGTCAGACACTAGTCCTTACAGCAGGTCTGCCAGGGGCTTTCATAACAAAAAACATGGTAAAATAAACAGCCTTTGATAGCCCAATATACAAAATGGTCACTGACAACTCTGAGCTTCACCACAGTGCAGTGGTGTGGAATTCAGGGTGAGCTATTGAAGGGCCCAGGATCAGTGCAGATTTATCCTGGTAAAATCGGTAAATGCTCTATTTGCTTCATGATGTTTCTGGGAATTCCTTGGTAGTCAAATTAAAATGGGAAAGTGGGTTTTATAACTGGGGGCTTCCCCTTGGAATGCTTGTGGCTCTTGCTCAAAGCAAAATTACGAATGGATCCCGCAGAGGTTTGAAAGGCCAGGATTTTTATTCAACATCACCTGACGGTGCTGTTTATTAATACATTCAGTGTGTTTCAATATATTTTTCTCATCTTTCACCACATTTGATGTTTTTTTTTCCTATAATTGTTTCATTAGTCATTTCTGTAGGCAGCCTGGCAGCTGTTGCTACAATCCATTTATTAACTGTTGTTGGCTCTGGATTTAACAAAATGCAACGGCACCCTCTTGTGGAAGCTGCTGATTAGATTATTTTGGTTTCCTGGTACCACCTGGTTAATTTTTTTCTGAACTAGTCAAAAGAAAACAAATAGCAGAAGTGTCCTAAGGCCACACAGCAACAAAGCTTCCTGGAGAACTTCAAAAGAATAAGCTGCAACTTTGGAATGCCTGCACTCAGAAAACCTTTGAAGACAAACTTCTGTGGGGAAGACCTTCAAAGGCACCCTGGGAGACCTTCCTGCCCTTGGCTTTTGTGGGAATCTCTGTCATAATATATTTTTCAAGAGAAACAGTTGGTATGGCTATATGCATAGAAATTGTACATTTACAAGTAAGTCTAAGGAAAATAAGTAAATATAAGTATCCAGAATGGACCTGAAAAATAGTTTATATTCTTCCTCTGTTTGTACAAATCCATGAATACAGATGTCAGTCTATCTGTATGTGTTAATGGAAATAGTGCATGGTTTTGAAGACAAATACAATTGTACAGGAGATAGGTTAGGTTGCACAAAGAAGGTTTAAGTTTGAACTCTTGTAAATCTCAACATATAATTTTTTTCATGCAACTGCTGTGGACACTTTGGATAAAAGAAATGCCTTTAAACTCATGAATGCATTTGTACTCTGCTCTGTGAGGAATAGGGCAGGGGAAGCCAGAACTCCTTTAACTGGTGAAACAAATATATTGGCATATCCACCTCCTACTCTGCATTATATGGACTTGCACAGAGCATCATACAATATTTACCTTAGTTAGAAAAAAGAAAAAAATATTTACAGGAAATAAGTTTTCCTGAAAAAGAAGCCTCAAACTTTTTTGTTTTGTTTTGTTTTTCACTGTTAGTGTGAACACAAAGACTTTCTAACTAAAATAAAATGAAAGAAAACAGTTTAAAAATATCATTCATAAGCAGAGATACTCACTGACAAGAGAGTAAAAATACTCCAAAAGTAACAAGGTATTTGTGAAATTATCACTTTCCATGAGTAATTTTAAAAGAAATGATGCTGAAAATTTTTATATAGTTTCTAATACACAAGGTATCCAAATGCATTAAAGTTCGATGTAAGCAGTACTTTTTAGGGGCTACAGCACAGCTACTCTTTCTCAGAGCAAAGAGTTTATCATAGTCTGCTTTGGTGTCAGTTAAAATGATAGAAGAATTAGTCTTGCTCTCTGCAAATGGCTAGTTAAAAAACAAAACAAAAAAGAAAGAAAGTAACAGCATGTATGTATCTCCTTTGTAGAATTTAATGAGGTGAGTTGTTTTGCATTTTTATGTCTGAACACGTTCTTGCACTGCCAGCATGTCTCAATGAGTGGTGGAATACAACCTCAGGGCAGGGTAACTCAATTCACTATGATGGTCTGAAGCTGAGTTTCAGAAGTCCTGGTCCGATGCTGACATTGTCTTACCTGTGACAGAACTTCTGCACTTTTTGAAGTTCCACAGTGTTTAAAATTTGTATTTCTGCTTGTTTCTCTGCTGCACTTTTGCTCTGTGCTTTAAAGGACCCTTTGCCATCCTGGGAGGATACATGTTTCTGCAGTCAGTAATACAGTACTTTACCCCAGACAAAGGTAAAGCCACATTTTACTCTCTCTATTGGGTATCTGCTACACTTTGTGTTTCTCTGGCAGAACAATGGTAAACCTGACACTGTGCCAGCTGACCCAGGAGGAGCAGCTGTGGTTGCAGGTCTCCAGAGGGAGTGGCTCACACGGCCTGGCTGACTTTGGTCTCTGTGGGCTATCACAGAGTGAAAGACACTGGTGAAGTACCCTCATGATTGTTGACATTATAATTTTGTTGTGTCTTTCCACAGGGCATGGAAGTACACACAGGTTGGTGGGACAAAGATTTGACAAGCATCCTCATGCATGAAAAAGCTGCTTTTTGGACCTCTGTGTACACACTTTGTGCCGCCAAACTCAGAAGGAATCCTCTTAGCACACTTCAACCACAGGAGCTTGCTCCTTCTCTAGGGCAAGTATGGATGTGAAGTTTATGCAGCTGCATCCCCCTTTCAAGTTAATTGTATCACTCTGAGCACTTCAGCTATGATCCCACACTGCAGTGCCTTGCTCTTGAACCAGCCTGCCTGCTTCCCTGGGTGCCTGCCATGGAGGTTGCTTCCCTGCTGAAATCCTGGCACATCACCTAGTGCTCTGTAATCCAAGTTTCTTTCAAGCTCATGTACCCAGAATTCACCACTGTAGCCATGCCTCATGTCTCTACATGACTTCAGATGATTTCCCCGTCTCCCTTGGGGAAAGGAGTATATTCAGCCTCATTTAAAAAGAAACCCATTGCTGAAAACCAAGGATCTACAAACTACATTACAAAGTACTACCTAAAACAGTTCCTGAATGGCTAGCAGATAATATAAAGCCATTTCCAATTCCTGGTGTTGATCCCCTGCTTTATAATCCTGAGCACCTGTAACAGATACAGCTTCACATCCCTGGAACTGGCCCCTTATCCCACACTTCGAGTGTACTGAAAACAGTGTTGATAACACAGAGATGTCTTAGCTGTTGCTTAGCAGTGCTTAAATCAGAGTCAAGGCATTTTCTGCTCCTCACACCCCACCAGCAAGCAGGCTGGGGGTGCACAAGGAGCTGGGAGGGGACACGGCTGGTACAGGTGGCCCCATATATCCAGAGGAATATTACATATCATATGGCAACATGCTCAGCATACAGAGCTGGGGGAAGAAGAAGGAAGCAGGGGAGAACTCAGAGTGATGGAGTTTGTGTTCCCAAGTCACTTTAAGTGTGATAGAGCTTGGCTTTCTTGGAGTTGGCTGGACACCTCCGTACCCATGGGGAATGGTGAATGATTTGCTTTGCTTGTGTGTGAGACTTTTGCTTTATCTATGAAATTGTCTTTTTTTTCTCAACCTATATGTTTTCTAACTTTTACTCTTCCAATTCTGTCCCTCAGCCCACCAGGGGGAAGTGAGCAAACAGCTGTGTGGAACTTAGATGCCAGCCGGTGTCCAACAACCACATCAGTTAAGATAATTGGGGGTTCCTAGTGTTAAGCTTTGCAAATCACAACAATCAGCAAAATCCCCCCTCAGTTAATTTCTTCTGAAACACTAAATTGAGTATTAAGGATTCTCTGCTAGATGCAGCCTACCAAATCTTGCAGGCATAACTCATTCCTCACAGCAGAAGCTCTTACCTAGCACCATGCACTTTGCAGGTACTAGAATGTATGTTCTTCCTTAGTCTTAGCGTTGCTGGTGAATTTCAGCTCTAATTGTAATTGTGCCTTGCACCACAGGCCCAAAATCACTGACTCCTTACACCTAAACAATCTTCCCTACAGTAACCTCAGCCCTTCTCCACATGGATACTGCAGGATATTGTTGAATTTCTTCATTCCTTGCCGCCACAGATATGGGACATGGCTGGAGGTGGCAGGGATAACTGAGAAGGTTCACTTCTGACCCTAGTGTTAGGATTGGGGCAAAGATTTGAGTTTTGCAAAAGAATACTGGAAAAAGCTGTGATTATTCTGTATTCCTACAAAAACTCTAAAGTTAAATGGGGACTAGGGCTGGTAAGGGACAATTCAGGGTCACCAGGCAGGATGGGATGTGGGTCCTTTCAGGGAAGGCTGGAGCTGCAGCTAGAGGTTCAGATGGGAAGGGCTGATCCAAAGAGGTAGCAGGGGACAAAGATGCTAGTCACAACTGCAGATTAAACTCTGAGTTCTGATTAAAACTAGGGTTAGAGTTTGATCCTAATCCAGGGTTTAAGACGGTTGAGGAGACAAATGACTTCTGGATTGACAAGATGTGTTGAGTCAGATGTGCAGATTACCCTGGTTGGGGAAATTAATTCACTGGTCTGTTGACGCAGGGATATATGTCAGCTCTGTGGCTGGGTTAATGCTAGAGTTTGGTTCACAAGAATCTGAAGAATTCAGGAAAACTTCTAAAACCTGTAGGATTAAGATGAGGTTTAGTTTCTTGATGAACGTGGTAAGTGTAGATGCTAAGATGATGAAAACTATTAGACTAGTTCAAGATTGTTTTGGTTAGTGCTTGCTTCTGGTTATATTGACTCTGTCAAAGGAGGCAGGGGCCTCCTAATAAAAGTTCAGCTATGGTATTTTTGGAGAAGAATAAAATAGATTATGTTGGACAAAGCCAATTTTGACAAGCTTAAAGTTAGAGCTAGTGCTGAATAAACATTGTTTGACTTCACCAATAAATGACACTTGAGAGTTCAAAGGTTTTACTCAGGGTCAGGTATGCTGCCTAAGACCAGCAGAAAAACAAACACACCTATATAAAAAGTGTATGTACAAATCAAACATTAACTGGTGTTCTCAGTGTCCCATGCAGGAAATGCACATACAGACACACAGAGACACACATATATGTGGCTAAATGTATAGCTGTAGGAAAACTGAGGAATTGATGTATCATTGTGAGACGGTTTCAGAAAAATAATACTTCAGCTCAAGGCCTAGTTATCAGTTTTACCAAAGATGGTGGCTATCACTCAAATTAATTAAGTCAAATAGTTACTCATAGAACTCAGATAGTTGTAATTCAAATTTATTTATACCTTTTCTACAGTTAGTTTGAAAGTAAACCATTCACCATTTTTCTAAGTATTTTTAGTTACATCTTTTTTAAACAATCACAGAATCACAGAATATTCTGAGTTGGAAGGGACCCACAAGGATCACCTGGTCCAATGAGTGAACAGCTCAGCAGGGATCAAATATGCAACCTTGGTGTTACCAGCACCATGCTCTAATCATCTGAGCTCATCTCAGATTATTCATGATGGATAAGGAGTAACATGCATAAATAATAAATTCCATAATGCACATTGCATAGAGGAATGCAGTAGCCTATGCACTCATACAACAAATTTTGTGGGTAGCTTGGTTCGGTATTTATAGAAAACCATAGTGGTTCTTCAAAATTATTGAATCAATATTTCAAGAATAGAAATTTACAAAAGTGCTCAGAGAGATCTTTCATACTAGAATATTTAATAATATACTTTGGAGGTATTTATTCAATTTCACATGAAAACCACAAGTCAGTTTATGCATTATACCTCAGAACAGCCTCTGGTATCATTTATGTATCTTATAAAACCTTATTCAGAAGCCAGGAGGATATTCCACTTGTCTTTTTTGGGTTATATTCATCAAGAGGTAAATCATACAGCCTGAAAAGCAGTCTCACTGACCTCAGTGGAGCTGCTCATGAGAGAAAATGCTGCTGGAAAGAGAATACTCTTTAATAAAAGTGGACATGGAAAAAATACTGAGCTTAAGTTCCACCCTTCTCATTGCAACTGACACTTTTGCCTTCAAATACACCATTACATATATCACATGTGCTTCTTCTAGAAGAGTTAAATAGCAGACAAGTGCATGAAAGAGAGGAAGCCTTTGGAATCTTTAAATGTGGAGTTAAAAAAAAGCCAATTGCTGGGACAGGTGCTCTCAGGGCCTACAAGGAGGGGTAACAAGTTACCTGCTGTCTGTCTGTAGCGGCTTTTTAAGCACAGCATTTGGGAGTTAGACTGGAGGCCACCATTCCCAACATCTGCTTATTCCTTAAGGTTCCTTTCCTACAGAGGTAGGAACTTCCTTTGTAGCAGCTGTTCCTTTGCTGCTTGAGGAAATACTGTGACAACCACCCTGGCACTGATTTCAGGTGGGAAACCTGATTTAGAAGTCTGTGCAGGTCTGTTGGTGTACTACACAGCTGGTAATCCTGAGAGCAGGGTTTCCTCCATTTCTGTGATTTGCTTAAGTCATGGGAGTTCTCCTGTCAGTCTGAATACAGCAATTAATATGAATTAATTTTTTTCATGCATTTTTGCCTTACAAGTTGCAATTATAAATTATAAATTAAATTACAAACTTACAAGAGTGTATAATTTAATATGACAGATACTTTCAATTATGAGTTTCTTCCAGCAAATGATAATTGATGAGGGCAAAAATATTTGTCAGGAGATTTCTAAGGACTTGTCTAGTTTATTTTAAAAATTCCCCAAACTTCAAGCTGAAAAAATGTTGATAGAGAAAATGTCAGGTGGTTTGGCTTTTTATTTTTTTTTTAACAGTGTGCTGAATTTCTAGATACATGATGGTTTTCCCCATTTCCTTTTTAATGGAAAGTTTTAGAAATACATATTCTCAAGCATCCTGACTAGCTCTAACTTCCAAGTGAAAAATCCAGTTTCATTACATGTTACAGGCAATTACATTCCTCAAAGGAGAACCAAAACTAGAAGCAGAGCAGTTCACGGGGGCAAGTCTGCTCTTTAGTGTGACATTAGAGTATGGATGAAGGAATGCATTAACCAAAAACCTTACACATGCTGCAGGCCTGCCTGGAAATGAAGGGAACCAATGACTGCAGGCTGCACACAGAGCTGCTCCACTGTGGACTGAGACAATAACCAATATTGGACAAGCCTGAAAAAAAGTCTGTGAAAAGTAAAGCCTGAGACTTGCTATGTCTGCTCAAACAAACTCATTATGGTTCTTGAAGCTTCTCTCCTGGAATTAATGGAGTTGAAGGAAGCTCTTGTTTCTTCTCGTATTTCATAGCCATTTCTCACCACTTTGTCAGTCTTTTGGTCTCTGCTTGCACATAGGATGCTTATGAACTGGGAATGTTTACAGGCTGTTTCAGTTAGTCTGTTGCTTCAAGGAGAAATTTAATCAGATTTTCCTTCTCTCTTCAAAGCTGATAATTTTTTCTCTGGGATTGTCTTCTCTTGGGTGGGAGATGGGACATGCATCAGGAATCTCCTCTCAGGCATTTCCTGGAGGCTGCTCCCTTTTTTTCCTACACTTCTTTAGCCTGTCTGCCAGCTTTTGCTATTTCCATGGATCACAGGAGACATCTTGTGGTCATGAAGCAAAATCAGGGAGCATGCAGAGTGAAGTCTGCAAGGGCTGAGCAGTGATAGACTTCCACTGTCCCACAAGCATTCAGTTTTTCTTTCACCTACAGGGAATAAGAGAAGTAGGAGTCATCCATCTGTCTGAAGGGGCCTTTTGAGCTAGGACAGAACAAAGATTTGAGGCTGTGGAGGTGACATATGGGACATTGTCAGCCTTGTATGTGAGTGATCTATGAAATCTGCTGCAGCTGGCTCAGACAGATGTTTCTTAGCTGAGTGTGTGTCTCCTTGCTTGCAGCCACCTCTCTCCAGGAAGGAACACCAATGCAGTTTACTGCAGAGCATGGGAAATGAAGAAAAGCACAACAAGCAAGAGCACATTTATATTTTACTTCAGCACAGTAATATTCCTGTGATACTGTGGAAATGGACATCATTCAGTCACCTGACTTCACTTATAACAGTCTGTGGAACTAGGATGCTGTCAGCATTCTTACCAGATTAATGCAGAGGGAAAGCTTCATTGAGGGAGCATTTTATTTGAAGGTGTCTGTTCAGAAGAAAAAAAAAAAGGATTAAAAAAGTATAAAGAAAAGCAAGAAGAAAAATAAGAACACAACAGAGAATCAGCAAGAGAAGGCTAGATGTTTTTATGATTAGTAGCAGGCATCTGTCTCTGATGATAATTACAATTATTGGGCAATTATGTAACAACATTTATCAGCTGGCCTGAACTTTTACTGTGGTTGGTGCCATGCCCATACATTTGGAAAATGACAGTACATGCTTCAAGAGAGCATCAGATATGACACAAGCTAGAGCAAATGAAAGAGAAAAATGAATGGATTGTGAATGGGTGATGGAAGACATGATACCTACCAGTAATAAAAGGATGGGTGCATTTTGAAACTTACCACCATACTGTGCTATTAAAAACCTTGTGAGAGAGCAGAGAAATAATGAGTACCCATGCTACACGAGCTGGGAACAACAGTAACAGAAAAAGGTAACTCCTAGAAACCAACTCAGAAATCATTCAGTAGAAGTTGTGTCAGGCCAAACAATCTGGTATTGGGACTGTATAGCAATCATTTGTCCCCAAGCTGCTGTTATCCATGGTGAGGAAATTATTCTTGCAAGTGTGCAGTGAAAAAGAACATGAACTTTCAGACCCCATGGAGTCACAGTTTATTAGCAGAGACTTGAAGAAGATGGAAATTCTATTTGGCAAAAGACTGCCCACTCATCCTCATTAGCTATGGCACCAGTAACTCTACAAGTTCTATGCAGAGGGGTATTTCATAAAGGATTAGTGTCAGGTTGACCTGGATACTTCGTTTTGAGATGTGAAAATTTAATATTTTTTGATAAAATATAAAATTAAATGAACAGTCCTTTTTACGAAGAAAAGTAAAAGAAAGAGAACACTTCAGAATGTTTCTACAAATGACAAAAGAACATTGTGCAAAATTTTCACAACTCCTTCCCTTTCCTTTCCCCTTTATTGAATGAAATTACTGAGAAAATGATGATATTTTGCAAATGTGTCAATGATAAAGAAAGTGAATTCTCTGTTCTGACATTGTTTTCCTAACAAGGTCAATTAACCAGTTCACTTGTCTTCCACAGGTAAATTTTGTCCCCTTCCTTGAAAATTCTGTACAATTAATGCTTGGCCCAGCTGTAACAGCTCTGCAAACACTGCCTCAAAACAGAGCAGCACTTCTGCAACCAAATGCCAGCTACAAATGTGGGGCCAGTGCATCTTGGGCAATGTGTCCTCTTGGAGCAAGACTGGGGAAACGCCACAAACACAGTCTGGTCCTTCTGATCTCCTTAGAACTTGTAGTGACCCTATGTACAGTGTACCCCTGCCCTAATTTAAATAACAGAATCACAATGGAACAGCCCAGGTTGGAAGGGACCTCAAAGGGCCCAAGTTTTCTTGGGAAAGGGAGCCTCAATGGCATTGTCTAGCAGCCTGACTACACTCAAGTTGAAAACCTTCAGTGATGGGGACCATTTTCCTAATAAGGTTGTTTCACTGAGTTATTATTCTCACTGTAGAAAATTTCTTTCTTATATCAAGATGAAACATCTCCTAGTACAACTTGTACCCATTGTCTTTTCCATGTGTCTCCTTGTGAAGAAAGAGTCTCTGTACTCCTTGTATCTGCTCTCTAAGTACTGGAACACCATGATGAGATCACTGTAAGCCTTCTCTTCTCCATGGATGAAAGATCTAACTCCTTCAGCCTTTCCTCATGGAGCAGGTTCTCCAGCCCTTTGATCATCTTTGCAGCCTTTATTTGAACTCTCCAGTCTGCTTCTGTCTTTCTTGAAGTGTAGTAACCAGAACTGGACACAGCAGTCCAGATGCAACCTGACCAACCCTGAGTGGAATGATCTCATCTCCATCACTGCCAGTAATGCCCCTGTGGCTGCAGCCCAGGATCCAGGTTGACTTTGTTGCTGCAGCCATGCTCTGCTGACTCATGTTCAGCCTTTGTTGTGTACCAGGACCCTTCAGCAAGGCTGCTCCCCAGCCACTCACAACCTAACCTATACTGGGCTCTTTTAAATCTCTGCTGCATTTGCCTTTCTTGCCTGTTGAAATATCTGGGAATGGTTGGCATAAGAGAAAAAACTTACAAATCAAAATCTGTGTCTTCTGAAATGTTCCTTGTGCTAGGGTCTCCAGGAGAGGATGAGATATGGCTTGAGGACTTTTTATTAGTTTCATTCCATGTGCCTCTTGGCCATGATTGTCTTTCTAGCCACCACTGACATTGAAATGGATGGTCTAATACATCTGAAAAATGTTATTCAACCCTCATCCTTACCTGCACAAAAGTGCGTAGATTCACATCAACTCTGGGCTTTCTAAGGTCATTTTACAAGTTGCAGGTGGGGAATTCCTGTGTCTCAGAGATGCCTGGATGTGCTCCAGGGTGTCAGACTTGCCAGCAAAGAGCAGGCACCATGTCTTGCTCTGACCTAAAAACTCAGATGCAGTTCTTTGCCATTTGCATAGCTGGGTAGTCCAGAACTAACATTATAATTTACACTATTGAATGAATTTTGCTTATAAACAAGGCATTGCTGACACAGTATTATCTGAGAATGCTAAGCCTGATCAAAAAATTAGCTTATCTCTTCCTCTTGCCTGATCAGATGAGTGTAGACACAATCAGTTTGGAATGCTTGGACTGCTCTGGTATTTCACATCTGCCTCACTTGCAGAACTGTAGTTTAAGTTAAAGCTGCTTTGCTATAAGTTCTGAGCATGTTTGTCTTCAGGCTCCTGCAGATACCCTCTTGCAGTACCCAGCTTTTGCAGCACTCCAAACTTCACCGTGGCCTCTGGTTATGTTTGAGGGACAAGTCAGTAATGATATGTAGATGAAGCACATAGCTGTCATCCACAGAGTGCAATTTCAAATTGTCCAGTATACCAGAGTGTCACAGCAAAGGGATTAAATGGGCAGAAGTTCTTATTTATTAGGTGTTGAACTTTGAAATTCTAGTCATGTTTGAAGTAAGATTTCAGCAGGGCAGCAGGGGCAGGGAGGGGACACAAAACTTAAAGTCCAGCCCAGAAAAGACATTTGGTTTGGCACAACTCCTAATTAAGCTGTGAAACTCATTTCATGTAGCTGATGCAAGTCAAAGGTATAAAACTGTTCAAAATGCAATTAGACACATTCATAGGGAAAAGTCAAGCAAGGACAGAACATCAGAATGAGGATTCACTTAATAATTCCTTAAGCCACAAACAGCCACAAGCTATAAGTGCTTGGGGGAAAAGAGTCAATGCAGGCATGTGCTGTTCTTATAGTCTTTCCTAAGCATCTGTTAGCAGCTGCTGTTGGAGGTAGGCAAGCAGTTTTGGACTTGGACCACTGGTCTGGGACAATACAGAAGTTTTTATGCTTTTACATCTAGAACTCTTAGATCCTGCACTCCCAGAAACTTCCATTTGAGTGTCCTGCATTGCAAAATGACACCTCAAATTTGGGGCTGTATGCTTTTTCATACAAGTATTCTAAGCAGAACAGTTATCATAAAAGAAAAAAACCAAAAAACCCACAGAAAGTTATAGCATCTGACAAAGTATTGTGTATTTATTTCCTCTTGTGTCTATACAAGCAAATGCCAGAATGATCTTAGAAAATCAGAGCAGCATATCAAAAGTTTGATATGTCAGAAAACTGCTGTTAATATCTGTTATTGTTTCTTCAATAAATTCCTCTCACCAAAACTTTGGCTTAGAATAAAGGAAACCTAGATTTGTCAGCTGCCATTTTCTGTTGATGATTCTTTAAACACTTGAATTAGAAACACACCTGATAGTTCCTTTCAAACACATGGTGAACAGCTGTCACATAAGCACAGTAAAATTTCTGCACAGCAGATTTCTCACAAGAGACCCATTGCTAATATAGCAAAAGTACTGCTAAAACTGTGGGCCTTGGGCCATGTAAATTGTACTAATGCTGGTGAAAATTAGTTTAATGGGCTTATGTCTAATAATACCAACAAAAGAGTGAATCCCAAAATGGGAAAAATGCTAAATACAAGCTCTGCAAAGTAACAGCAATATGGTATGTGTTATGTGTGCATGGAAAAGAAGCCAGCTGATTATTGGTATTGTGTCTGAAAAATAGACTATTGAGGGACTAATTTCTGGTAATATTAATCATATCTTAAGTATATTTGACCTCCACAGATCAATTGCTGTTTTCAGGAACTGAATGCCATATGACATGAAAGTGTTCCCAAAGGAAATCTGTTCTTCACTACCCAAAAGTCATTATCTAAAAGTGGATAAAGATTATTTGCATAGAAGATGTGAAGAAGATATTTTTCAGCTATTACAATGCTTCTGGGATTAGCACTTTTAGATGAGATGATTCCTTCTTCCTTTTAGTTTTCTTTTTAAATGGAAAAATATCAAATTCTTATTCTGGATTTTGTTTTGTTTTTATTTCCTACAGGCAAAACCTCCTCTGCTTCACTTTCCACAATTTTGTTTTAATGCAAAGGTATCGAAGACAATTTTTTTTTAGGAGTGGCAGGAGCAAAACATGGTTTTGTTCCTTTTTTTTCTGTTTTTTGGACTACCAGAGGATCATGCTGCAAAAGACACATGTGGTTAGATGCTATGTAAAAATATGGATAAGATACTGTTCTTAACTCTAATGTACAAAAATTCCTTGCAGTAGTAGAAATAGGAATCATAGAAATCAAATGTGTTAAGGATTTAAATAAATATTCTAATCTATTTTTTTGCTGAAAGGCATCAGGTGTATCTAGGCCACTGGCAAAGATTTTTGTCAAATAATTAATGAATGCCTTAAATGAAAGAGGTTACTCAGAATTTCTCTACTCCTTAGTCCTGAGATTTATTGTCTTTACAATGAGAAAATCTACCACGTATCTAACAGAGTTAATCTTTGCTGAAAAACAAAATTATTTATTTTTGATCTTTTTCCAGCTGGTCAACAGGACTCTTGTTTTACTGAACAGCAGCTCACAGCTTGCCCCACACTCCTCTTGTAAATCATAGAATGGTTTGGTTTGGAATGGGCTTTAAAAGTCATAGTTCCAAATCCCTGCCATGGCCAGGGTTGTCTTCCAATGAACCAGGTTGCTCAGAGCCCCATCCAACCTGGCCTTGAACACTTCCAGGGATGAGGCATCCCATTTTCTCTGGGCAACTCTTTCCAGTTCCTCACCACCACAGTAAAGAATGTCTTCCTAATATCTAAATCTAAGCATACCCCCTTCAAGTTCAAAGCCACTCCTCCTTGTTCTACCACTACATGGCCTTGTAAAATGACTCTCCCCAGCTCTCTTGTAGTCCCTTCTGAAAGGCCACAATAAGGTCTCTCCAGAGCCTTCTCTTCTCCAA